TAACAAGTAACTCATTCATCCCTCATCCACCTAGCTGAGGCTAGATCTTATAAAAATCCTGTATTGCCACTCAAGGCTTTAACAACAAGTGATGGTCTAGGTGGCTTTTACTCGACAAAATGACTGCAGAGAGCATGCTACCCACTAAGGAAAGGGAGCCAGCCATCCTCGCACCGACGTCCTCGTGGGGAGGCCTGGGGCGAAGTCACCCCGACTGGGCGACAGTTACAGCCGAACCTCACCAGGGCAGGCAGGGCTGCCGGAGGCAAGGCGGCGCATGCGCGGCCCGCGGGCTACCCGGCTCCGCCCCGCGCGCACTATTTAATCCCAGAATCCCTCTGTGTCGCACCAAACGGCCGCATAGTTCCGAGGCTGCGGAGGCCGGGCGCGGTGGCGTCAAGATGGCGGCTGCGGCAGTGGCGGCAGCGGCGGCGGCGGCCGCGGCTGCATCTCTTCAGGTACTGGAGATGGAGAGCATGGAGACGGCCGCTGCCGGCTCGGCAGGCCTGGCCGCCGAGGTCCGAGGCAGCGGCACGGTGGACTTCGGGCCTGGGCCAGGGATCTCTGCAATGGAGGCGAGCGGGGGCGATCCGGGCCCAGAAGCCGAGGATTTCGAGTGCAGCTCTCACTGTTCAGAGCTGTCCTGGCGGCAGAACGAGCAGCGACGCCAGGGCCTCTTCTGCGACATTACCCTGTGCTTCGGCGGGGCTGGAGGCCGCGAGTTCCGGGCCCACCGCTCGGTACTGGCTGCCGCCACCGAGTACTTCACGCCCCTGCTCTCGGGCCAGTTTTCCGAGTCCCGCTCGGGACGGGTGGAGATGCGCAAGTGGAGCTCCGAGCCGGGGCCCGAACCCGATACTGTGGAAGCCGTTATCGAGTACATGTACACCGGGCGCATCCGCGTCAGCACGGGCAGCGTGCACGAGGTGCTGGAGTTGGCCGACAGGTAGGCGAGGGGAGTGGGAGCACGGAGGGCGGCGGGCGCGGAGAGGGGGAGATGCTCGCCGGCGGAGGGGAGGGCAGTGCCTGCCACGGCAGCTCGCGAGTCCTGAGTGAACGCATTGGGTTCACACTCGCTGAGCGCCTGCTGGGGGGCAGCCAACCGCGGTGGGCGAGGAGGATGCACCGTCAGGTCGCGCCTCGCGCCCAAGGAGCTCAGATACTAGGTGGTGGGACAAAAGTGATGGAAAGGAAAGTCAGTATGTGGTAAGCGTTGTGCTGACGTTCAAAAGGAGTGAAAGGCTAGGGATTGAATAAAGACCTTTCTGAGGAGGTGACGTTTAGACCGACCTCTGAATGTCAAAAAATAACTGACCGTGCAAAGATGGGGAATGAATATTCCAGACAGCGCAAAGGCCCTCAGGCAGGATCCAGTTTGGCTTAGAGAAGAGAATTAAAATACAGTCTAGTGACGCTGGATCTAGTGGATGAAGGGGAGAAGGATGCGTGAGATGCGTTTGAATAAGGAGCTTGAATTTCACTGAGTGTGATAGGAAACTGAGTAAATAAATGATCTGATTTAAATATTTTAATATTATTCTGCCACTGTGGTAAACGGATTGTAGGGAGCAGGAATGCTCCAGAGACTGGTTAGCAGGCAGGTAATACCGTTTATAGAGATGGAGAGGCATTTGTTTTGGCAATTATCATTTTACAGATTCCTTAACAAAAATGCCTGTTGAGCGCCGATTACGCATCAGCTCACATGCGGGATTCTAAGGTGCTAGGGTTTCAGCAGTGATCAAAAGAGACAAAAGTCCTTTTCTTTATCGCACTTACGTTGGTAGATAGACGGTAAATAAGTAAAATGTATAGCCTGTTGGATGATTGTTAAGTGTATGTAGCCTGTTGGATGATTGTTATCACTGATGAAAAATAAAGCATGGGGGGAGTACATAGAAAGTGCTGGGGGAGAGGAAGTGTTTGTCAAATTGCGTGGATAGAGAATGCCCTATGAAGAAGACGTTTTGCTAAGAACCAAAGGAGATAAGGTAGACTGTGTCAGGTAGGGGACACAGGTACAGAGGCTCTGAGGTGGAGCTTGTCTGTATGTTAGAGAACAGCGGGGAGCCAGTGTGGCTGTATCAAAGGGATGCAGGGTGAGAGGAACAGGAGAAGCCTCAGGATGGTAATGGGCATGGATCCAGATCCCATAGGGCCTTGATGGTCTGTGGAAGGACATGAGCTTTTACTCTGATAGAAATGGGAAGGTTTGGGGTAGAGGAATGATGCAGTCTGATTTGATGAATAGTGCTGTGTTGAAAAAAGGATGTGGCGGCCAGGCCCGGTGGCCCATGCCTATAATCTCATCACTTTGAGAGGCTGAGGTGGGTGGATGCTTGAGGTAAGGAGTTCGAGACCAGCCTGGCCAACATGGTGAAACCCCCGTCTCTACTAAACATACAAAAATTAGCCAGGCATGGTGGCGTGCCTGTAATCCCAGCTGTTGGGGAGGCTGAGGCACAAGAATCGCTTGAGACTGGGAGGCGGGAGGCAGAGGTTGCAGTAAGCCGAGATTACACCACTGCACTTCAGCCTGGCTGACAGAGCAAGACTGTCTCAAAAAAAAGAACAAAGGATGTGGCATTGGGGAGGAGGGGTCACCAAGGGCAGACGCAGAGAGACTAGTGTAGGAGGTTGTGGCAGTGGTGGTGGAGGCTTCGAGTAGGAGGGAGAAGTAAAGGTGATGAGAAGTGCTCTGGTTCCAGATATATTTTGAAGGTAGATGAGATGAATTTGCTGATGCATTTGATGTGGGGTATAAGGGAAAAGACTGCTACCTTTTTCACCCAAGCAATGGGAAGGATGGAATTATAAGGATGTGGAAGATTGCAGAAGAGCAGGTTTGGGAGTAAGAGCAGTTTTTGGATTTGGTTAAGGAGATCCCTGGGAAGCCCCTGGGAAGCCCCTGGGAGCTGGAGATACAAATTGGGAGAAATTAGCATATAAATGGTAGCTAAAGCCTTGGGACTGAATGGTATTACTTAGGGAGTATACGTAGAAAAGGGGTAGCGGGGAGAGGGTAGGCAAGACTGAGCCCTGGGGTTCTCTAGAATGTAAAATAGCCAGCTGGGCGAGGTGGCTCACGCCTGTAATCCCAGCACTTTCGTAGGCCAAGGCAAATGGATCACTTGAGGTCAGGAGTTCGAGACCAGCCTGGTCAACATGGTGAAATCTCTACTAAAAATACAAAAGTTAGACCGGGCGTAGTGACTTACGCCTATAATCCCAGCACTTTGGGAGGCTGAGGCAGGCGGATCACGAGGTCAGAAGATCGAGACCATCCTGGCTAACATGGTGAAACCCCGACTCTACTAAAAAAAAAAAAAAGAAAAATTAGCCGGGCGTGGTGGCGGGCGTCTATAGTCCCAGCTACTCAGGAGGCTGAGGCAGGAGAATGGTGGGAACCCAGGAGGTGGAGATTGCAGTGAGCCGAGATCATGCCACTGCACTCCAGCCTGGGCGACAGAGCGAGACTCCGTCTCAAAAAAATACAAAAATTAGCAGGGTGTGGTGGCAGGTGCCTGTAATCCCAACTACTCGGGAGGCTGAGGCAGGAGAATTGCTTGAACCCGGGAGGTGGAGGTTGCAGTGAGCTGAGATCACCCCACTGCACCCCAGCCTGGGCGACAGAGTGAGACTTGGTCTCAAAAAAAAAAAAAAATAGAATCTTAAAGAGGAGATTGATCTCATGGAAACATAGAAAGGAAGAATATCAAGGAGGGAGCAGCCAATCATGTCAACTCTGTCAACCCATAAGTGATGGTTGCAGGTCAGAGATGCCATTGACAAGAGCTAGTTAAGCCTTGCTTTATAAAGAGGATCAGAAAAATGGTACACATATGTAAATGTTTTGGGGGACAGTCCCACCAAGGTAAGAGATACTAGAGCATGTCTGTGTGCTGCTGAAAATAATTCAGTAGAAGATGAGTAATTGGTGTTACAGGAGCAGGGGAAAATAATTGCAGGAGTAGAGTCCTTGCAACCAAGAAGGGAACTGTAGGGGTGGAAGAGGGGTGATCCCTTTCTTCCCCTTCATAAAGGGGTCACAGCTGACATTCTTTTTTTTTTTTGGAGACAGAGTCTCTTTGTTTCCCAGGCTGTAGTGCAATGGTGCAATCTTGGCTCACTGCAACCTCTGCCTCCTGGGTTCAAGCGATTCTCCTGCCTCAGCCTCCCAAGTAGCTGGGATTACAGGCATCTGCCACCACGCCCAGCTAATTTTGTATTTTCAGTAGAGATGGGGTTTCACTCTGTTGGCCAGGCTGGTCTCAAACTCCTAACCTCGTGATCTGCTCGCCTTGGCATCCCAAAGTGTTGGGATTACAGACGTGAGCCACCGCGCCCGGTCACAGCTGACATTCTTTTTTTTTCTTTTTTTTGAGACGGAGTCTCGCTCTGTCGCCCAGGCTGGAGTGCAGTGGCGCGATCTCGGCTCACTGCAAGCTCCGCCTCCCGGGTTCACGCCATTCTCCCGCCTCAGCCTCCGAGTAGCTGGGACTACAGGCGCCCGCCACCACGCCCGGCTAGTTTTTTGTATTTTTTAGTAGAGACGGGGTTTCACCATGTTAGCCAGGATGGTCTCGATCTCCTGACCTCGTGATCCGCCCGCCTCGGCCTCCCAAAGTGCTGGGATTACAGGCTTGAGCCACCGCGCCCGGCCAACACAGCTGACATTCTTATAATAAAAGACAGGTTATATAGGGCAGAGAAAACCATAGCAGATTATTACAGGCACATTTGTGCTCGAGAGTCATACAAAATATGAAAACTCTAAGGGTGACTGAAGTTTTTATACTGTTCTGTGGTTATAGAAAGAATAGGGGTTTGGAATGCATCAAGACAGGTTATGGGAGAGCCAGAAGAGGAAAGCTTGGCAAGCACAGGCTGTCCTGTTATGCCGGTGAAACCTCACGGGCAGCAGCTGTCAGAAAAAATGGATGTAGCCTGTGGGAAAAGTTTCTGTCAGATCTTTTAAAGTGTCAGACCTTCGCCTCCTTAGTTTTTCCTGAGTGCATCTTTCCTCGATCTGAGTGAAGGGGGGGCCTCAGAGAAAGCCTATTTGCATCCCTGTTTTCCTTGCTGTTTACCTCATTAATGTAGATTTTCTCTGCAGATGCAAATCTCCCCCACAAAAGACAGCTCTTCAAAGCTATTCCTGTGGTTTTGGCCCCTCGGAATATGTCAAATAAGTATATTTTGGGGTGAAATATTCTGGTTATTCTTCAGTGTAGAATCCATATTAAAATTGAAACGGTTGGACTGCAAAGTTTAGGGTACAACTGCTGGTGGATTGGGTGGTGGGAAGATGTTCCTGCTTGATTGTCTGTTTTCTCAAGAGGCTGGGTCATCAATGAGAAGGTGGAGTGGGATGGGCATAGCTCTGAGGGAGAGAGGTTTGTTGCATGAAAATGGGTAGAAAAGGGTCATTGCACTTACTCAAAGCTATGTTTGATTCTGTCATATCATCTTGAGTTTGTCAGATTTGCCCCTGCTCTATTAGGGAGTTAGAGGAGAGGAGAGGATACTCCAGGCATTTTTACTAAAAACTCTTTAACTTCTCTCCATCTATCAGCAGCTAAGCCAATAACTTTTGTCAGGCACTGTTCAAAGTGCTCTGCAACCATCACATTTAATCTTCCCATCAACTCTGAGGCAGGACCCTCCCCCGCCCACCAACCCCTAAATACATGTGTCTGTTGGTGATCATGCCTGCCTCACTGGACACTTGTGACGATCAGAAACATAATAATAGGATGTGCACGATGCCCCTCACATGACAGATGCCTAGTGTATGACAGCTATTTTCTTTTTTTTTTTTTTTTTTTTGAGACGGAGTCTCGCTCTGTCGCCCAGGCTGGAGTGCAGTGGCCGGATCTCAGCTCACTGCAAGCTCTGCCTCCCAGGTTTATGCCATTCTCCTGCCTCAGCCTCCCGAGTAGCTGGGACTACAGGCGCCCGCCACCTCGCCCGGCTAGTTTTTTGTATTTTTTAGTAGAGACGGGGTTTCACCGTGCTAGCCAGGATGGTCTCGATCTCCTGACCTTGTGGTCCGCCCGTCTCGGCCTCCCAAAGTGCTGGGATTACAGGCTTGAGCCACCGCGCCCGGCCGACAGCTATTTTCATAGAGCATTTTTTTGAGACACCCACAGGAATTTGTCTCCGAATTACCTGGAGTGCCTGCTAAAACTAGGAGCCCAGGGCAGCCTGGGAATCAGGTGACACTGGCACCCAGACATGTCTGGGAGCCACTATATCCCTTACCACTCTACTTTGTCTTTGCTTTATCTCTAAAATGATATGTTCTCTTAAAAGGGTAGAGGGAGCCTGCCTTATTCATTTTCATATCATAGTTAAGACAGTTACTAAGCACAGTCACTAATAATAAATGGTTACTGAATTGGGAGAGGCCTGAACCAATGAAGTGATTCTTGTTTAAGGTTCTTCTCCGTTCTGGGGACTTTGTCTGTTTAGAGCAGTGGTCTCAAATAGGCTATCCTCAGACTGATTGTTGCCAGATTTATGAATCTGTCTGAAACGATTGCGTTTTTTTTTTTAATTAAACTTTAAATGGATTTAGGTGAGCAGACAGTATTTAGTCAACTACATCCAAATCACTTTCCTTTGTTTTTTAACCTACACGTTTTGTTTTGTTTGGAGCTGAGTCTTACTGTGTCACCCAGGATGGAGTGCAGTGTGGCATGATCTCAGCTCACTGCACCCTCTGCCCCCAGGTTCAGGCAATTCTCGTGCCTCAGGCTCCTGAGTAGCTGGGATAACAGACGCACACCACCATGTCCAGCTAATTTTTGTTTGTTTTTTGTTTTGAGATAGCGTCTCATTCTGTCGCTGGAGTGCAATGGCGTGAGCTCGGCTTACTGCAATCTCCACCTCCTGAGTTCAAGCGATTCTCCTGCCTCAGCCTCCCTAGTAGCCAGGATTATAGGCACTTGCTGCCAGCTAATTTTTTGTATTTTTAGTAGAGACGGGGTTTCATCATGTTAGCCAGGCTGGTCTCGAACTCCTGACCTCAGGTGATCCACCCACCTCGGCCTCCCAAAGTGCTGGGATTACAGGCGTGAGCCACCATGCCTGGCCTACTTTTTGTAGTTTATTAGTAGAGACAAGGTTTCACCATGTTAGCCAGGCTGGTCTCAAACTCCTGACCTCAAATGATCCTCCTGCCTCAGTCTCCCAAAGTGTTGGGATTACAGGCCTGAGCCACTGCACCCAGCCTGAACCACTGCGCCCAACCCTACACATGTTTTTTTGGTTGTGTTTTTGTTTTGTTTTCTGCTTCTTCACGTGTTTGAGTTTGCTTTGTATCCCTGCTTTGATGAGAACCCAGTTCAGGACAAATCTCAGTACCCCATTCCCTCTGGCTGCCCAAAGAAAAAGCTCTGGTGATGAGATTAAAAACTGTCTCCGACACAGGGAGTATATATTCAGGGCAACTTGAATCTATGATCCTGGAGAAAATTTTTAAAATAAAATAAAACCTCTAGCAGAAAGCCTAGATCTGAGTAAGGGGTGGGGGGGCCTTCCTTCTGATATCTGACCGAGCAGACCCCCTGAGAAGTTCCTGCCTGGCTGTTTCTTTATACCATAACGTCCCTTGACTGAGACCGTTTCATTTAAGAAGAGGCTGGTGGTCTGGGCCTGGTGGCTCACACGTGTAATCTCAGCACTAAAGTAGGCAGATTGCTTGAGCTCAGGAGTTTGAGACCAGTCTGGCTAACATGGCAAAACCTTGTCTCTACAAAAAAAATACACCAAAAAAAATTATCTGGGTGGCCAGGCGCGGTGACTCACGCCTGTAATCCCAGCACTTTGGAGGCCCAGATGGGTGGATCACCTTAGGTCAAGAGTTCGAGACCAGCCTGGTCAACATGATGAAACCCTGTCTTTAAAAATACAAAAAATTAGCTAGGCATGGTGACAGGTGCCTATAATCTGAGCTACTAGGGAGACTGAGGCAGGAGAATCGCTTGAACCCAGGAGGCAGAGGTTGCAGTGAGCCAAGATTGCGCCATTGCACTTCAGCCTGGGCAGTAAGAGCGAAACTCCATCCCGAGGGGGAAATATATATATATATATATCTGGGCGTGGTGGCGTGTTCCTGTAGTACCAGCAACTTGGGAAGTTAAGGTGGGAGAATCACTTGAGCCCAGGAGGTCGAGGCTGCAGTGAGCCATGATGGCACCACTGCACTGCAGCCTGGGTAACGGTGAGAATCTGATCTGTCTCAAAAAAAAAAAAAAGAGAGAGAGAGAGGCTGGTGACTAGCAAGGAATTAGGGAAGGATGGCAAAGACAAATTTGGATAGGGATTTGCCTTTGCCAAGGACAAATTAAAGTGAAAATAAAGTGTGTGGCTGGGCGTGGTGGCTCAGGCCTATAACCCCAGCACTTTGGGAGGGCAAGGCAGGTGGATCACCTGAGGTAAGGAGTTTGAGACCAGCCTGGCAAACATGGTGAAACCCCGTTTCTACTGAAAATACAAGAAGTTAGCCAAACATGGTGGCATGCTCCTGTAATCCTAGCTACTCGGGAGATTGAGGCAGGAGTATTGCTTGAACCCAGGAGGCAGAGGTTGCAGTGAGCCAAGATCGTGCCATTGCACTCCAGCTTGGGCAACAAGAGCGAAACTCTGTCTCAAAAAAAAAAAAAGAAAAAACCTCCAGCCAGACACAGTGGCATGTGCCTGTAGTCCCTGCTACTCTGGAAGCTGAGGCAGAAGGATTGCTTGAGCCCAGGAGTTTGGGACTGTAGCGCACTGTGATCACACCTGTGAAAAGCCACTGCAGCATAGTGAAACCCTGTCTCTTAAAATAAAAACTCTATTTTGTGTTTTTATATATGTCTATGTGTGTGTATATGTATGTGTTTCACATATATGATATGTAATTATATAAACTATATAATACAAATAATACTTTATATTTTATATATAAATAAGATTTTTATATATGCTTTTATTTATTTATTTTTTCTTGAGACAGAATCTCGCTGTGTTGCCTAGGCTGGAGTATAGTGGCGCGATCTCGGCTCACTGCAACTGCTGCCTCCCGAGTTCAAGCTATTCTCCTGCCTCAGCCTCTGGAGTTGCTGGGATTACAGTCGCCTGCCACCATGCCTAGCTAATTTTTTTGTATTTTTAGTAGAGACGAAGTTTCACCCTGTTGGCCAGGCTGGTTTCGAACTCCTGACCTCATGATCCGCCTGCCTTGGCCTCCCAGAGTGCTGAGATTACAGGTGTGAACCACTGCACTCGGCCTATATATGCTTTTTTTTAAGAGACAGTCTTCCTGTGTTGCCTAGGCTGGAGTGCAGTGGCTATTCACAGGCACGATTATAGCTTACTGCAGCCTTGAACTGCTGCCCTCAGCCAATCCTCTTGCCTAAGCCTCCTGAGTAGCTGAGACTACAGGCATGCATCTCCATGCCCAGCTCTATATGTGCTTTTTTTGTTGGTTTTTTTTTTTTGTTTTTTTGTTGTTTTTTTTTTGAGACAGAGTCTTGCTCTGTCACCCAACCTGGAGTGCAGTGGCGCAATCTCAGCCCCCTACAACCTCTGCCTCCCAGATTCAAGTGATTCTCCTGCCTCAGCCTCCCAAGTAGCTGGGATTACAGGTGCTCCCCACCATGCCCAGCTAATTTTTGTCTTTTTATTAGAGACAGGGTTTCACCCTGTTGTTGGCCAGCCTGGTCTCAAACTCCTGACCTCAAGTGATCTGCCTGCCTCAGCCTCCCAAAGTCCTGGGATTACAGGTGTGAGCCACTGCGCCCGGCCATGTGCCTTTTTTTAAGAGACTTGGTTTTGCCATGTTTCCCAGGCTGGTCTTGAACTCCTGGTTCAAGCGATCCTCAACTTCCCAAAATGCTGGGATTATAGGTGTGAGCCCCTGCGCCTATCCTATATGTGCTTTTAAACATACTTTTCCAGCACAATATTTTCTAATTTGGTGGTGGGTTTTTGTTTTTTTTTTTTTCAGATTTTGTGTATAAAGTGAGATTAACTATTTCAATATGTATAATTTAGATGCTCTCAAAATGTGACCATACGCTGGGTGTGGTGGCTGACACCTGTAATCCCAAACACTTTGGGAAGCAGAGGCAGGAGGATTGCTTAAAGCAAGGAGTTCAAGACCAGTGTAGACAATATAGGGAGACCTCGTCTCTACAAAAAAATTATATATATATATATAAAATATTTTTTTTTTAATGTAGGCCATGGCCAGGCACAGTGGCTCACACCTGTAATCCCAGCACTTTGGGAGGCCGAGGCAGGCAAATCACTTTGAGGTCAGGAGTTCAAGACCAGCATGGCCAATATGGTGAAACCCTGTCTCTACTAAAAATACAAAAATTAGCTGGACGTGGTGGCACACCCCAGCAACTCAGGAAGCTGAGGCAGGAGAATTGCTGGAACCCAGGAGGTAAAGGTTGCAGTGAGCCGAGATCACACCACTGCACTCCAGCCTGGGTGGCAGAGTGAGACCCTGTCTGAAAAAACAAAAAAGTAACCACATAAAATGTGCACATTTGAAAAATTAATCTTTTCTCTTTTTCTTGATTTTAGGTTCCTACTCATTCGTTTAAAAGAATTTTGTGGAGAATTTCTCAAGAAAAAACTTCATCTCTCAAATTGTGTGGCAATTCATAGCTTAGCCCACATGTACACCCTGAGCCAACTTGCTCTGAAGGCTGCTGATATGATACGGAGAAATTTCCACAAAGTGATTCAGGATGAAGAATTTTATACGTTACCTTTCCATCTCATTAGAGACTGGCTTTCAGATTTGGAAATTACAGTTGATTCTGAAGAGGTTCTCTTTGAAACCGTTTTGAAATGGGTTCAGAGAAATGCTGAAGAGAGAGAGAGATACTTTGAAGAACTTTTTAAATTGCTCAGGTTGTCCCAGATGAAACCTACCTACCTTACTCGACATGTCAAACCAGAGAGGCTGGTAGCCAGTAATGAAGTTTGTGTCAAGTTGGTGGCTGACGCAGTGGAGAGACATGCTCTGAGAGCTGAGAATATACAATCGGGCACATGCCAGCACCCCACTTCTCATGTCTCACTCTTGCCTCGTTATGGGCAAAACATGGATGTGATCATGGTTATTGGAGGTGTGTCAGAAGGAGGGGACTATTTAAGTGAATGTGTGGGGTATTTTGTTGATGAGGACAGATGGGTAAACCTGCCACATATTCATAATCACCTCGATGGACATGCTGTTGCAGTAACAGAATCCTACGTGTATGTTGCTGGATCAATGGAGCCAGGGTTTGCTAAAACTGTTGAAAGGTATAACCCAAATTTGAATACTTGGGAACATGTTTGTAGTCTGATGACAAGAAAGCATTCTTTTGGACTAACAGAAGTCAAAGGGAAGCTCTATAGCATTGGAGGACATGGCAACTTTAGTCCTGGTTTTAAAGATGTGACTGTTTATAATCCTGAGCTTGATAAATGGCACAACTTGGAATCGGCACCAAAGATTCTTCGAGATGTCAAAGCACTAGCCATTGAAGACCGGTTTGTATACATTGCCGCCCGCACTCCTGTAGACCGGGACACTGAAGATGGATTAAAGGCTGTAATTACTTGCTATGATACAGAGACTCGACAGTGGCAAGATGTGGAATCTTTGCCCCTTATTGACAATTACTGCTTTTTCCAAATGTCTGTGGTCAATTCAAACTTTTATCAGACAGCATCATGTTGTCCCAAGAGTTATTGTTTAGAAAACGAAGAAGCAGTAAGAAAAATTGCCAGCCAAGTGTCTGATGAGATCCTTGAAAGCTTGCCTCCAGAAGTCCTAAGCATTGAAGGAGCAGCCATTTGCTATTACAAAGATGATGTCTTCATTATAGGAGGCTGGAAAAACAGCGATGATATTGATAAACAGTATCGGAAAGAAGCCTACCGATACTGTGCTGAGAGGAAGAGGTGGATGCTTCTTCCTCCTATGCCACAACCTCGTTGTAGAGCCACTGCTTGTCACGTGAGGATCCCATACCGGTACTTGCATGGCACACAGAGATATCCTATGCCTCAAAACCTGATGTGGCAGAAGGACCGCATCAGACAGATGCAAGAGATACATCGTCACGCCCTGAACATGCGGCGAGTGCCAAGCTCTCAGATAGAATGCTAGGTTCTCTCAAGCGTACCAGTTAAAACTGTTATACCCGTTTCGTGAAGCTGAAGATATCCAGGCTGTTACTTGAAAAAGTATGTCGATAACTTATTTTCTACGTGAACTGATTATTACCCCATATAAAGGAAATAGAGTTAAAAACTAAAGAATGGGAGACTCAGTTCAATACATGGTCATTTTGTTAGCTTGCAATTTTTGTCTTTGGTTTGTTTGTTTGTGCTAGCTAAGTAAGATCTTACTAAGGACAAGTGGGAAAATCAGGTGTAGTTGCTTAGCTGTTTTCCTGCCAATTGAGTTATAACTCCTTTGTCTTGGGGACTTACGTTTTGAACATGCTTTAAGCACCAATTTTATTTGCACATTTACTTTGATATTCTTTTTGATTTTTTATGAAATGATTGGTTTTGGCAAGATCTGACTTCTGCATTGAGCCCTCATCTGCAGGAGGCATGTGCAATAGTGAGACTGAAATTTGGATGAAAACACTCAATATTTCAGCAAGATAATTTGAGAATGTTTGCATTGATATTTTCTTATGTTTATCTAGAAGTGCCACTTTCGTTCCTAGAAGATGTGACTGATGAGAAATTTTTGATTGGCTCATGCATTTTTTGAATATTTTTCATTAGCAACTGTTTATAGACTAAGCCTTCAATCTGAGCTGAGGGTAGTTGGCAGAAGTATAGATCTTTAGCTAATTGACTAAATACAGAGCAAGTTACATGTGTGAATTTTGTTTTCTCTAAGAAGAAAAGTATTCGTGTAGACTGAGAAATTAAAGGCATTTAAAATTTTAAACATTTTTTTCAGGAGTTGCAGGATTACTTGAGGATATGTTAATGAGTGTAAATAATGCCTATGACAATCGACACTCAATGCCTTCCATTTTAATTTTTGCTCTAATGCATATTATATAGAATCATTATTCCTTTGGGGTTTTTTTGTTTTTTTTTGAGACAGAGGCTTGCTCTTGTTGCCCAGGCTGGAGTGCAGTGGTGCAATCTCGGCTCACTGCAACCTCTGCCTGCCGGGTTCCAGTGATTCTCTTGCCTCAGCATCCCGAGTAGCTGGGATTACAAGTATCCACCACTACGCCCGGCTAATTTTTGTACTTTTAGTAGAGACGGGGTTTCACCATGTTGGTCAGGCTGGTCTTGAACTCCTGACCTCAGGTGATCCGCCCACCTCAGCCTCCCGAAGTGCTGGGATTACAGGCGTGAGCCACCGCGCCCAACCCATTATTCCTTTGTACAAGAAACTTTTTTTTTCCCCAAAATGGGAAGTCATAATTTAGAGAAATGTTGCTAAAGAGAAGCCTTATTATTTCTGATTGTTATGTTTTATCCAGTTGCCCTACACTTTTAAACTTTGCTTGAGCCTAGGATACCAAATTTGGGTACGTAATTTTGGCTTTTAAAGGTTTATGGGCTGGGCACAGTGGCTCATGACTGTAATCCCAGCACTTTGTGGGAGGCTGAGGTGGGCAGATTTTGAGCCCAAGAGTTCAAGACCTGCCTGGGAAACATAGCAAGACCCTGTCTCTAGAAAAAGTACAAAAATTAGCTGAGTGTGGTAGCTGGCACGTGCCTGTAGTCCTTCCTACTTGAGGCCAAGGTGGGAGAATCAGCAGAGCCTGGGGAGGTTGAGGGTGAAGTGAGCTGTGATCATGCCCCACTACCCTGGGTGACAGAAACACAGTGTCTGAAATAAAAATTAAAAAGATCACCGAAGCTATCTTTTATTTAGTTTTATACATTGTTCTAATTATCTTATGTCTCCTGAGCTTTATAAAAGTTAGCACTCAAGTTGACTTTTTTTTGGGGGGGGGTGGGGGGATGGGGTCTCACTTTGTCACCCAGGTTGGACTGCAGTGGTACGATCTTGGCTCACTACAACCTCCACCTCCTGGACACAAGCCATCCTCCCATCTCAGCCTACTGAGTAGCTGGGACTACAGGCATGCGCCACCATGCCCAGCTAATTTTTTTTTTGTATTTTTGGTAGAGACAGGGTTTCGCTATGTTGCCGAGGCTGGTCTCCAACCCCTGGGCTCAGGAGATCCACCCGTGTCAGCCTCCCAAGGTACTGGGATTACAGGTGTGATCCACCACACCTGGCCTCAAATTAACTTTTTTTTTTCTTTTTTTTGAAACAGAGTCTCGCTTTGTCACTCAGGCTGGAGTGGCGTAATCTCAGCTCACTGCAACCTCCACCTCCCGGGCTCATGCGATTCTCCTGCCTCAGCCTCCTGAGTAGCTGGGAATGCAGGCGCGTGCCACCACGCCCGGCTAATTTTTGTATTTTTAATAGAGATGGGGTCGCACCATGTTAGTTAGGCTGGTTTCGAACTCCTGACCTCGTGATCCTCCCACCTCAGCCTCCCAAAGCGCTGGGATTACAGGCGTGAGCCACCATGCCTGGCCCTCAAATTGACTTTAATGCTCGGTTAGTATAAAGGATTCCTAACAGCTTACAATGTGGTTTTCTTGTTTTTGTTGTTGTTGTTTTGTTTTGTTTTTTTTTAAGATATGAGGTCTCACCTTATTGGCCAGGCTGGTCTCAAGCTCCTTTCCTCAAGCAACTCTCCCACCTTGGCCTCCCAAAGAGCCACCTGCCCAATGATTTATCCTGTTTCTTAAGGACTGTCTTTACCTTCTTAGACATTTTGGAATACCATTCTAGAAGTCAAATTCCAAGTGCAGTGATTTTTTTTTTTCCCCTAGTCCATTATAGTTAATCTTCTTGTTAGTGATCAAATACCAAAAGAGAAAAGCACAACCAGAAATTTTGGCTATTTGCTGCAAGACTAATAGTTTTAGGTCTTGGGCTCTATACTAAGAACTTGAAATTTTTAAATTAGTGTCCCTGCCTAGGTGAAAAGTTTTTAATAAATGTGTTGAAAATCAACTTTAAATCCATTTAATTTAGACTGGAGTGGGCGTGAGAAACTGCAAGTCTATTTCTACATATAAGGATATATTATTTTACCCCACTACTACCTTTTTCTCAATTTCCATTTCTTTGTAGTTATTTTAATAAAAGCCATTTGGATTCTGAGAAGCACTAATTCTTAGTTGTGAGAGGTCTATGCATGTAAGACAGAATCATTAAATGAAGCTCATTAAATGGAGTTCTCATTTCTCTCCAATAGACTATGCTAACAAACTTCCTTTTGTTGATTGTGTTTAAATAATTTAGTATCTCACTACAATAACAGTTTTTCACTGGAAGGATGTGATGTGTTTTTTGTTTTTTTGTTCTCAGAGCTATCTTCTGAGGTAATCATTACCAAGTCATTTGTGGGGTTGTGTTTTTTTCACATGATGTGACAGAAATTATAACTCATAAGATTTAGGCATAATCTGGTTTTAAAACCTTGATTGAAACTGTTGTTTTTTAACTTAGCAGGCAGCCTAGGCCACGGCTGAAAAGAAGGGGTAAGTCCTTCATTGCATGATGATGTGTGCAGGTTTCCCTGAATTTCTAATTTTTATATTTGAATTCACATGTGTAATTTCACATCAATAACTTGTGTTTCTGAAATATCCTAACTAACTTGTTAATAAGGAAAGAAACCAGATTTGCTTAAATCTGTTCAAGGCTGACATTCTGAAATTCTTAACTGGAAATAACTTCCCAGAGTATTTGGAAAGGTTCTAATTACAAGGATTAGGCCTAAAATAGCTCCTTGGGAAAGAAGTTTCCTTGTTGATGAGAAAACTTAAAAGATTCTTTTTGGTAATGTAAGCAGTTAAAAATATGACTTTAGCAAGACAGCTTAATGCGTATTCAAGCAAACCTTTGTTTTGTTGCTTTCCTTTTGTTTGTAGAAGAGAGAGGAAGTCATTATACCAAAAAGTAATAGTTACATAACTTTGAGTGAGGCTACTTACATCTTAGAATGGGTATCCTTGAACTATATCTACCGCTCCATGGCTTAAAAAAAAAATCAGTGGTATATATTGAGAATGTCAGTCATGAGCTTAGTGTTTAAGTAACACATCCCACTTACAGTTGTTTGCATGATTAGTCTTGTGTATCATGATATTCAACTTTGCGTTTGCTGTGCCAGTTCAAAAGTAACTTTTTTGCTAAAAACTCTTAAAATTCATGACATAAGTTTTGTTTTGATCACCTGGTTTTATATAGTATTTCTGGGACCAAAAAATTTAAATATACCTTTTTAATATAGAACAGAAGTTTGAAGCTGGAAAGATAGTGTTTATGGAAGATTTGTGTGTTTTTGTTTTTTTAAACCCGTCAGGCTGCTGGTAAGGCAGTTTCTAGGGCTAACTTTTCCTCCTTACCTCTTGACTAGTGTAGCATGTGGTATGTTTAAAATACTTCATTTTCTGCTTCGTAATTCTAATATCAACACTACACTGTATGTAGACAGGTGAGCTGAATGGTATGTTTTAGTTATTTGGTCTAATCAAGCATAACTAAAGGGACTTCTTTTTTGGTACTTTTCTCAAATTAAGTTTAAATATAGTATACTGGCCATATTTCATGTCTTTGAAAGTTTACATTACTGTAAACCAAGTACTCTGTCTACACCAGAGGCTGCTTTAACTATAAAATATTTGAGAAACAATTCAGTCTCTCCTGAACTCTCAAACATTTTGGCACAGTTCATCACTCCAGTTTGTTACTTTCTTGAGAATAGTCCTTTTTTGTTTTTGTTATTATAACGTATGTTCTGGTCATTGGAAACAGAACAGCTCATAGTTGAGTGATGTAATATAATAACAGTAATATAACCTAGTAGTCATTTTGCTTCAAGGAATTTAATTAGATAGCAAAATCACTGCTGTTTATTACATTTGTAGGGCTTTTTGTCTTACTCAGTGACCATCACTACGAATGTCTTATATTGAAGCACAGACTGCAGAGCACTTGTTAACTTAATCCTCCTGCATAATGCACTCGTGAAAAGTGGTGCTTGCTAGGTGTTTGAAGATTTTATGATCCATGTGCTTGGGCTCGTTGAGTTATTTGTAAAATAAACATTTAGTTTGAGTTGATGCAGTGAGTTTTTTGGGCTAGTAGTATCCAGGTCCCTACTCTACTGAAAATGTAATCTTCACTATTTCCCTTTAAGTCAGAGGAGATGTAGTAGTTAGAACACCTTGAGACATTACATTGTAAAATAGCTCATTTTATGTTCCTGAAGCTATCTTGTTCTCTGTTAAAGCTACTAATTGTCTCAGTGTAAGTTTTAAATAAATATATTTCTTTAAAGCTGGTTTGTACTGTGTGACTTTTTTTTTCTTCTTTATGCACTGTTGGATATAATTGCCTTCTTCCCTCCCTCCTACTCCCTCATTCATCCAACCATTGGCTCTCTTAAGTTGAACATTTTCCAATACTCTTCAAAGTTTAAACACTGCATTTATTTAAAAAAAAGAATTAATTCTTATTGCTTAGACTTTTTATTAGCTAAATGAAGAGGCTCATACAGGTAGGGTACTTGTCGAAGCAGAATATTTTACTTCATCTCGCAGTGCTAATCCTGGGAAGTTGTCCCGTCTAGCTGCATATTCCCCAACATTGGCCAGCCCTGGTACTACACAGCAGCTCAGAGCACTGCGGTATATGCTCATGTCGTGAGCATCATACCACTCATCGGTCTTTTCGTCATAGCACTCAACATTAAAGGTGGTGGTAAAACCATTAAAGCCACCCACCACGAACAAGAGGTCGTCCACCACCTCGATGCCAAAATTGCTACGAGGATTAAACATAGTGGGGATTGTGCGCCAAGTGTTAGCCACAGGGCTGTAGGCTTCTGCACTCCTAAGTCGATTAGCTCCGTCAAAGCCACCTACCTGTGGATAGCAAAAGAAACACGGTTGACTGCTAACTATTGATTCTGTTCACTGAGGAAGCCCTCGTTGGGGGTACCAGTGATTTCATAACTCCCTCTTCCATTATCTTCCATGAAAAAAAGCTTTTCAAATACCAACAGTAGCATAAACCCATTTACTAATACAAATTCTAGGGGTAATGTGTTTTTTTTTTGTAGTAGTAAACTTACTGCATATACATGTTCTCCATAAGCAATCACGCCTATTCCACTCCTCCTGCTTCTCATGGGTGCTATGACTGTCCACTGATTACTTTCAGTGTTGTACACTTCCGCTGTAAACAGGCACTCGTTTCCATTAAACCCACCACATATGTAGACCTGTGTGAAGAGTTCCAAGATTATTAAAATTCCCACTCTAGGGAGTAGAAAGAAAGGATATGTGTGTGGTGGTAGTGGGCACTTAATTCCAGTCTGTACAATCTGAATTTCTTTTTTTCATGTGTGCATGCATTGCTTTTTATTTATTTTTAGAGACGGAGTCTCGCTCTGTTACCCAGGCTGGAGTGCAGTTGCGCCATCTCGGCTCACTCCGCCACTCAGGTTCTAACAATTCTCCTGCCTCAGCATCCGGAGTAGCTGGGACTACAGGCGCACACTGCCATGCCCTGCTGATTTTTTGTATTTCAGTACAGACGAGGTTTCCACCTTGTTGCCCAGGCTGGTCCTGAACTCCTGAGTTCAGGCAATCCATCCCCATCGACTTCCCAAAGTGCTAGGGTTACAGGCATGATACACTGCCGGCCTATTTTTATTTTTTGAGATGGAGTCTCGCTCTGTCGCCTGGGCTGGAGTGCAGTGGAGCTATCTCGGCTCACTGCAAACTCTGCCTCCTGAGTAGCTGGAATTACAGGTGCACGCCACCACACCTGGCTAATTTTTGTATTTTTACTGGAGAATACCATGTTGGCCAGGCTGGTCTCAAACTCCTGACCTGAAGTGATCCGCCCACCTTGGCCTCCCAAAGTGCTGAGATTACAAACACGAGACACCAGGCCTGGCCACATTACTTTTTTTTTTTTTTTTTTTGAGAGGGAGTCTTGCTCTGTCATCCAGGCTGGGGTGCAGTGGTGCGATCTCAACGCACTGCAACCTCCACCCACTGCAGCCTCCGCCTCCCGGGTTCAAGTGATTCTCCTGCCTCAGCCTCCTGAATAGCTGGGACTACAGGCGCCTGCCACCATGCCCAGCTAATTCTTTGTATTTTTAGTAGAGACAGGGTTTCACCATGTTGGCCAGGATGGTCTTGACTTCCTGACCTTGTGATCTGCCCGCCTCGACTTTCCAAAGTGCTGGGATTACAGGCGTCAGCCACGAGCCCAGCCTGCATTACTTTTTTTTTTCTTTTTTTGAGATGGAGTCTTGCACTGCCACCCGGGCTGGAGTGCAATGGTGCCATCTCGGCTCATTGCAATCCTCTGCCTCCTGGGTTCAAGCGATTCTCCTCCCTCAGCCTCCCGAGTAGCTGGGACTACAGGCACCCGCCACCAGGCCCGGCTAATTTTTTGTATTTTTAGTAGAGACAGGCTTTCACTATGTTGGCCAGGCTGGTCTCGAACTCCTGACCTAGTGATCAGGAGCCTTAGCCTCCCAAAGTGCTAGGATTACAGGCATGAGCCACCGCGCCCGGCCTCGCATTACTTTTTAATAAGCAAAATAAAAGACAGTTGCAACTAGTCACCTTGTCAATTGAAGAAAGAATGAGTACTCCAAGTGAATACTGCCACTTCGTCTTCCATCCACCCCAAAAAAGAGCAGTATCATTTCTTGGCTTGTACTTTGTATCCACATCTTCCCCTCCCACCCTGGTCCTTTACCTTCCCATAGAGTGTTGTGGCGCTTGCATCACTCCTCTGTTCGTGCATGGGGGCGATGAGTGTCCATTGATTGGTCTCTGGCTCATAACGTTCAGCAGTGTTTAGACGCACATAGCCATCAAATCCTCCCATGGCATAAATAAAATTGCTGAGGACTGTCACACTGACATAGCAACGTCTGGAGTGCATCGGGGCCACCTGATGCCAAGTTTTCTTGACTGGGTCAAAACGCTTAACACTATTGAAATAGTCTACACTATCAAACCCCCCAATGATATACACATAGCCTTTCAAATAGGCTGCCCCATGGTAGGCACGGGGACTCTCTTCCTCACAAGTAACGTTCACCCATCTGTCTGCCCGAGCGTCATATGCCTCAATAGCATTGGTGGGGCTCCCACCACTCCAGCCACCAATTGCAAAGAGGATGGCATAGGGCAAGCGGGGTCTGGTGAGTGGGTTGGTAAAATCAGAATTAGAGGGTCCGTTCATGTTGAGGTCATACATGGCCTTTAGGGCATTAATGATGACTGGTTTGCATTCCTCACTGTCTTTGACATAGTCATTCATCTTAACATTGTTCATGAAGTACTCAGCATGCATTAGGGCCAGGCGAACCTAAGAAGCAAACGCAGAAATTCATTCAGGTGATGTGAGGGTGCCAGGAAATCCCACATCCTTAACCCCCATGTTACAATCTGCCTTTGAATTGCTGGAAATATTTTGGTTTGTTTTTGAAATGTATAAGTCACAGTTTAAATAGTCAATTTTGAGGCTCACACCATAATCCCAGCACTTTGGGAGGCCGAGGCAGGCGAATCACTTGAGGCCAGGAGTTTGAGACCAGCCTGGCAACATAGCAAGACCATCTCTACTAAAAATACAAAAATTGGGGCCAGGTGAGGTGGCTCGCGGCCGTAATCCCAGCACTTTGGGAGGCCAAGACGGGCGGATCACCTGAGGTCAGGAGTTCTAGACCAGCCTTGCCAACACGGCAAAACTCCATCTCTACTAAAAATACAAAAATTAGCTGAGCATGGTGGCACGTTCCTGTAATCTCAACTACTCAGGGAGCTGAGGCAAGAGAATCGCTTGAACCAGGGAGGCAGAGGTTGCAGTGAGCCAAGATCGCCCCACTGCACTCCAGCCTGGGCCACAGAGCGAGACTCCATCTCAAAGAAAAAAAAAAAGTTGGTCGGGGCGCAGTGGCTCACACCTGTAATCCCAGCAATTTGGAAGGCCGAGGTGGGCAGATAACTTGAGGTCAGGCATTTGAGACCAGCCTGGCCAACATGGTGAAACCTCTGTCTCTACTAAAAATACAAAAATTAGCTGGGCATGGTGGCAGGCACCTATAATCCCAGCTACTCAGGAGGCTGAGGCGGGAGACTCGCTTGAACTCGGGAGGTGGAGGTTGCAGTGAGCCGAGATCGCACTACCACACTCCAGCCTGGGCAACAGAGCTAGACTCCATCTCAAAAAAAAGAAGAAAAAAAAATTAGCCAGGCATGGTGCCGCATGCCTGTAGTCCCAGCTACTCTCGAGGCTAAGGCGTGAGAATTGCTTGAACCCAGGAGGTGGAGGTTGCAGTGAGCTGTGATCACACCACAGCACTCCAGCCTGGGTGACAGAGTGAGACTCTGTCTCAAAAAGTCATCGGCTGGGCGCAGTGGCTCACGCCTGTAGTCCCAACACTTTGGGAGGCCGAGGCGGGCAGATCATGAGGTCAGGAGATCAAGACCATCCTGGCTAACACGGTGAAACCCTGTCTCTACTAAAGATACAAAAAGTTAGCCGGGTGTGGTGGCAGGCATCTGTAGTCCCAGCTACTGGGGAGGCTGAGGCAGGAGAATGGCGTGGCGTGAACCCGGGAGGCAGAGGTTGCAGTGAGCCAAGATCGCATCACTGCACTCTAGCCTGGGCGACAGTGAGGCTCCTTCTCAAAAATAAATAAATAAATAGTCATTTTGGGAAGGTGGTATATACATTTGGAAGCTGAGAATAAGCTAGATAGAAGGCACCTCAAGTGGCCACAGAGCAATCCCATTCCTTGGCCAATGGTCAGTACCATTAGACCAGGAAAAACCATGGTAATTGTTCAGTAATTGAGTATGTCTGTATATGTAAAATAATGCTGATTAGCACCAACTGACAACAATTGTGTGCAATACTCATGATTTGTTTTTTTGGTTTTTTTGTTAATTTGAGACCGAGTCTCACTCTGTTGCCCAGCTGGAGTGCAGTGGTGTGATCTCGGCTCACTGCAGCCTCCGCCTCCTGGGTTCAAGTTATTCTCCTGCCTCAGCTTCCTGAGTAGCTAGGATTACAGGCATGCACCACCATACCCATCTAATTTTTGTATTTTCAGTAGAGACAGTGTTCTGCTATGTTGGCCAGGCTGGTCTTGAACTCCTGACCTCAGATGATCCACCCGCCTCCACCTCCCAAAGTGCTAGGATTAAAGACATGAGCCACTGTGCCAGCCATGATTTGGTTTCTAATTCAGCTTCTACCTTGGGTATGGAGAAATTCATAGGAAGGAAAAAAGCTGAAAGGAATTTCAGCACTTTCGAATTTTTTTTTTTTTTTTTTTTTTTTGAGACAGGGTCTCGCTCTATTGCCGAGGCTGGCTTGCAGTGAGGCGATCACAGCACACTGCAGCCTTGACCTCCCAGGCTCAAGCAGTCCTCCCATTTCAGCCTCCCACCCAGTAGCTGCAACTGCAGGCATGCACCACCAAGCCTGGTTAATTTTTTTTTTTTTTTTTTTTTGAGACGAAGTCTCGCTCTGTCGCCCAGGCTGGAGTGCAGTGGCGCGATCTCAGTTACTGCAAGCTCCGCCTCCCCGGTTCATGCCATTCTCCCGCCTCAGCCTCCCGAGTAGCTGGGACTACAGGCACCCGCCACCATACCCAGCTAATTTTTTGTATTTTTAGTAGAGACAGGGTTTCACCATGTTAGCCAGGATGGTCTCGATCTCCTGACCTCGTGATCTGCCTGTCTCAGCCTCCCAAAGTGGTGATTACAGGCATGAGCCACCGCGCCCAGCCGGCCTGGTTAACTTTTAAATTTAAATTTTTTTTTTTTTGAGATGGAGTCTTGTTCTGTTGCCCTGGCTGGAGTGCAATGGCATGATCTCGGCTCACTGCAACCTCTGCCTCCCAGGTTCAAGTGATTCTCCTGCCTCAGCCTCCTGAGTAGCTGGGATTACAGGTGCGCACCACCACGCCCAGCTAATTTTAATATTTTTAGCAGAGACCGGGTTTCACCATGTTGGCCAGGCTGGTCACAAACTCCTGACCTCAGGTGATCCCCCCACCTCGGCCTCCCAAAGTGCTGGGATTACAGGCGTGAGCCACTGCACCTGGTCAAATTTTGTAATTTAAAATTTTTATAACCTATGTTGCCCAGGCTGGCCTCAAACTCTGCGCTCAAGTGATTCTCCCACCTTGGCCTCCCAAAGTGAGCCACCACACCCCTCCTAGAATTATTCTGAAGGCTCTCTTCTTCCCCCACCACCAGGAAGGATTTTGGTCAAAGAATATAACTTAGGTAAAAAGAACTAGTAATGCCAAGGGAAAAGACAGTTGCAAAATTCCAGAGAATAGTAGATGCCTTCTATCTAAGGACATGTAAATACAGCCTTGGGATCTGTCATATGTCTGAATTTTGCTTTTAGGACAATCTCTCTGGGATAAATGAATGAAGAGTGAACACTGACCTTAGGAAGCAAAATTGAAATGTGCTGCTTTCTATTTTGGGGGTCATGAGAAATCCACTTTAAAATGGCCTCAAATACAGCATCTTCCTGTTTGACATTGAGCTCATCTTTCTCGATGATATCCTTAAGTTCAGTGACCGAGAGCTCTAAAAATTCTGCAGAGACTTTCACCATCTCCTCGAAGTTGTGCAGTATGAACATGTAGGCCTTCTGCCTCAGCTCAGGACAGTAGTAGTAGTCTGTGAACTTACAGATGCCGATACAATTATCCAAGCACAGCTCCGACTTGAGGAACTCGCAGCAACCCCTGACGATACCCATGATGTTAAACTGATCCGCGGCAGCAAGCAGTTTCTCCACATTGTCCGGTGTGATAGGCACGGTCCGGGTGTATGCATACTCAATGATCAGCTTCATCATGTCGGGAGAAATGCCAGGGATGTTGTATACCTTCTTTTCAGTGTTGTTCCAGCCACTTGTAAACAAAGCTCTGGAAAAAAGAAAGAAACTGGCAGCCACGGAAACATTTCTCTCCTGTTAGGTGAGTACATTGGAAATGGCCTCAGGAAGCGGGGTGCAGGCGTGTGCTATATACAGTGGACAAGAAGAATTTTGACTTTGGGGCCGGGCGCAGTGGCTCACGCCTGTAATCCCAGCACTTTGGGAGGTTGAGGCGGGTGGATCACGAGGTCAGGAGATCGAGACCATCCTGGCTAACACGGTGAAACCCCGTCTCTACTAAAAATACAAAAAATTAGCCGAGCGTGGTGGCGGGCGCCTATAGTCCCAGCTACTTGGAGGCTGAGGCAGGAGAATGGCGGGAACCTGGGAGGCGGAGTTTGCAGTGAGCTGAGATCGAGCCACTGCACCCCAGCCTGGGTGACAGAGCAAGACTCCATCTTGGTTGGGGGAAAAAAAAAGAACTTTGACTTTGGTCACTCTTACCTTGTGGATAGAGAAATTAAGATTTAGAACTGAGAGTAAGACCCAGGTCTCTTGGGTCAGGCGTGGTGGCTCACGCCTATAATCCCAGCACTTTGGGAGGCCGAAGCAGGTGGATCACGAGGTCAGGAGTTCAAGACCAGCCTGGCCAACATGGTGAAACCCTGTCTCTACCAAAAATACAAAAGTTAGCTGGGCGTGGTGGCATGTGCCTGTAGTCCCAGCGATTTGGGAGACTAAGGCACGAGAATCGCTTGAACCTGGGAGGCGGAGGTTCCAGCAAGCCAAGATCACGCCACTACACTGTAGCCTGGTGATAGCGTGACACTCCATCTCAAAAAAAAAAAAAAAGTTTTTTTCATATAAGATGTGAGATTGGGATGGGGAGAGTCTCCCTATATTGCCCAGGCTGGTCTTGAACTCCTGGGCTCAAGTGATGCCCAGGATGATGATTTTATATGCATTTTACTTATTTAATTCCTATTTCCCCTTCTAGAGGGTAAACTTCATGAGAATAGGAATGTTTCTCTTTTTATTCATTGTTTTTTGTTTTCTGTTTTTGAAACAAGGTGTTACTCTATCACCCAGGGTAGAGTGCAATGGCATGATCTTGGCACACTGCAACCTCTGACTCCTGGGTGCAAGCAATTTTCCTGCCTCAGCCTCCTGAGTAGCTGGGATTATAGGTGTGCGCCACCACACTCAACTAATTTTTGTATTTTTTAGTAGAGATGCAATTTCACCATGCTGGTCAGGCTGGTCTCTAACTCCTGACTTCAGGTGATCCACCTGCCTCGGCCTCCCAAAATGCTGGGATTACACCGATGAGCCACTATGCCTGGCTTTTGCTTCCTTTTTGTAAGAAGTTTAAGGAAATGTGGTCTTAGAGATCAAATTCTTCCGCTAGAGCAGGGGTCTGCAAACCTATGGACTCTGTCCAAATTTGGCCCACCTGCTGCCCACAAATTAAGAATGATTTTCACATTTTAAATGACTGGAGGAAAAAACAATTTTTTTTTTTTTTTTTTTTTTGAGATGGAGTCTTGCTCTGTTGCCCAGGCTGGAGTGCAGTGGCTCCATCTCGGCTCACTGCAAGCTCCACCTCCCGGGTTCACGCCATTCACCTGAAGTCAGGAGTTCAAGACCAGCCTGGACAACATGTTGAAACCCCGTCTCAATTATAAATACAAAAAAATTAGCTGGGTGTGGTGGCAGGCATCTGTAACCCCAGCTACTCAGGAGACTGAGGCAGGAGAATTGCTTGGACTCAGGAGGCAGAGGTTGCAGTGAGCCGAGATCGTACCGTTGTACTCCAGCCTGGGTGACAAGAACAAAACTCCATCTCAAAAAAAAAAAGAAGAAAAAGAAAACTTAGCCAGATGTGGTGGCACACAGCTGTAATCCCAGATACTCGGGAGGCTGAGGCAGGAGCATCACTTGAACCCGAGAGGTAGAGATTGCAGTGAGCCGAGATTGTGCCACCGCACTCCAGCCTGGGTGACAGAGCAAGACTCCATCTCAAAAAAATAAAAATAAAAAATAAATTGTGGACTCTGCTCTAGGGTCTACATGAATGAGAAGTTTTAGCAACAGGTAGGATACATCAATCATATCTTCATTGGAATTGATTACTCAAACATTTTCAGCTCATGAACAAAATAGCCCTTCTACCTCCTGGGTTACAGTGGTTTTAGCCCAAACTGCCTTTTCCTTCTGTTATTTCCCGGGTGTTTCCCCCTCATCCTCCTTCCCATCCCCTTAATCCTTGTTAATTTATCACCCTGTTTGAAAAGGTCTCTATTGGGATAGGAGTAGAGGGGGGTCCCTGAAGTAGCATTGTCATCTGAAATCCAGTAGGGATGTCCAACCTTCCCAAAGGTTGGTTTAGGTGAGAATCAAAGATGAAAGCCCACCAATAGTTAGTTGAAATCCAGTTGAAAAATCAGATCTTAAAGGCCGGGCGCGGTGGCTCACGCCTGTAATCCCAGCACTTTGGGAAGCCAAGGCAGGTGGATCACGAGATCAGGTGTTCCAAACCAGCCTAACCAACATGGTGAAACCCTGTCTCTAATAAAAATACAAAAATTAGCTGGGCATGGTGGTGGGAGCCTGTAATTCCAGCTACTTGGGAGACTGAGGCAGGAGAATCGCTTGAGCCCAGGAGGCAGAGGTTGCAGGGAACCGAAATCACACCACTGCATTCCAGCCTGGGGGACAAAGCGAGACTCCATCTCAAAAAAAAGAAAAATCAGCCGGGCGCGGTGCTCAAGCCTGTAATCCCAGCACTTTGGGAGGCCGAGACGGTGGATCACGAGGTCAGAAGATCGAGACCATCCTGGCGAACACGGTGAAAACCCCGTCTCTACTAAAAAATACAAAAAACTAGCCGGCGAGATGGCGGGCGCCTGTAGTCCCAGTTACTTGGGAGGCTGAGCAGGAGAATGGCGTGAACCCGGGAGGCGGAGCTTGCAGTGAGCTGAGATCCGGCCACTGCACTCCAGCCCGGGCCTACAGAGCCGAGACTCCGTCTCAAAAAAAAAAAAAAAAAAAAAGAAAAATCAGATCTTGCCAGGCGTGGTGCTAATGCCTGTAATCCTAAGCACCTGTTGGGAGGTTAAAATGGGCAGATCACCTGAGGTCAGGAGTTTGAGACCAGCCTCAGCAACATGGCAAAACCCTGTCTCTACTAAAAATACAAAAATTAGCCTGGCGTGGTGTCGGGCACCTGTAATCCCAGCTACTCAGGAAGCTGAGGTGGGAGAATGGATTGAACCGGGGAGGCGGAGGTTGCAGTGAGCTGAGATGGCGCCATTGCACTCCAGTCCAGGTAACAGAGTGAGACTCATCAAAAAAAAAAAAAAAAAAAAAAAATCGGAGAAAAAAGCCCCTGACCCTAGTCATGCCTCTTCAGAAGGCAAAGGAGCCAGGCAGGAGCTCCTGCCTGGACCACAGAGTTGGCCAGGCATGGTGGTAATCCCAGCACTTTGGGAGACTGAGGCAGGAGGATTGCTTTGGGCCAGGAGTTCAAGACCAGCCTGGGCAACATAGCGAGACTCCATCTCTATAGAACATTTCAAAAGTAGCCGGACGTAGCGGCATGTGCCTGTAGACCTAGCTACTTGGGAGGCTGGGGTAGGTGGATCGTTTGAGCCCAGCAGTTCAAGGCTGCAGTGAGCCATGATTGCATCACTACACTTCAGCCTGGGTGAAAGAATGAGAGCTTATCTCTAAAAAATTTTTTTAAAAATTTTTTTAAGGTGCCCAGAGCTTTGACAGTGTCCCTAAAGTTAAGGTGGTGGAGTGGGAACCAGAAAATGGATCAAAGTGTCTCAAAATGAGCCCAATTACCCCTTTGGCTTAATTTGGCAACCCTGTTATACCTAAAGTAGGAACTGCAGCTACAGAGGATGTTCTTATGGGCACTGAACTCAAAGCCATTGACCTTGATGACCACGTCGCAGAGCTTGCCCTCTAGTCTAAGCTCGTTGAAGATCTCACAGGCCATCGCACTCATCTTCCTCTCCATGTGAGGCTGGTGGAAACGTGTGGAGGCCGCCGCGCTCTCCATCTCCATGGCACCCTGGGACAGCGGAGAGAGGCTGCTCTCCTAGGGTGTCGGGGAGGGTTGTGGGGGGCCCCTTTAGCCAGCTGTCGCTTCTTTTCCCTACTACATCTTTCGTATAGAGTCTATCAGGCAACTCAAGTTCCAGAATCCTGGCCCTGCAGTGAGATCACGCAGGATTGTGCTCTCAGGTTCTGGAACTGCCTCCTGGACTTGTCCGCTTCCTTCTCCTCTCCCCTACCACCCCACTTAGGCTGAAAACCACCTCATGCCTCTTTCTGTGTCCTCGAACTCAGAACAGAACCGTGACCACTGAGTGTTTATTGATTCCAGCTCCTGTTACTCACCTGATACAGGTCTCTATCCCTGGAGCATCCATCTACCTTCCACAGCCCAACACTTGGCTCCCTAGACACCGAACTCAAGGAAATCCAAGTCAGTTGAGGCGGAAGGGAGAAGTAAAGCTGATTAAATTTCTTTCTTAGGCCAGGTGCAGTGGCTCATGCCTGTAATCCCAGCATGAGGTGGGCAGATCACGAGGTCAAGAGATGGAGGCCATCCTAGCCAACATGGTGAAACCTCGTCTCTACTAAAAATAGAAAAATTAGCTGGGCCTGGCGGCACATGCCTGTGGTCCCAGCTACTTGGGAGGCTGAGGCAGGAGAATCGCTTAAACCCGGGAGGTGGAGGTTGCAGTGAGCTGAGATTGTGCCACTGCACTCCAGCCTGGTGACAGAGACTCCATCTCAAAAAAAAAAAAAGAAAAAAATTAATTAATTAAATTCTTTCTTTTTTTAGAGACAGGTCTTGCTCTCTCACCCAGGCTGGAGTGCAGTGGTGTGATCATAGCTCACTACAGCCTCCACCTCCTGGGCTCAAGTGATCCTCCCACTTGAGGATCCTCCCACTTGAGGCTTGATCCTCCCGGCCCAGCCTCCTGAGTAGCTGGGATTACAGGTGCTCAGCACGGTGCCCAGCCAACGCTGATTACATTTCAGAAAGCTGTCCCGGGTCTCCCAGTCCCCTGGATGGGTTAGTCACTCAGTTTCTTCTGGAATGAGGAATGGCCTAGTTAACAGAGCACCTGCTGGGTGATTAACAGAATTCAGTTTATGGCTCCTTCATCTCTCCTCCCATCCAGCCGTGTGGTTTTTCTGTTTTTGTTTCTGAGACAGGGTGTCATCTGCCGCCCAGGCTGGAGTGCAGTGATGCGATCTCGGCTCACTGGAGCCTGGACCTCCCGGGCTCAAGTGATCCTCCTGCCTCAGCCTCCCGAGTAGCTGGGACTACAGGTGCGCATCATCACGCCCGGCTAATTTTTGTATTTTTTGTAGAGACGGGGTTTCGTCATGTTGCCCAGGCTGGTCTCGAACTATTCGGCTCAAGCGATCCTCCTGCCTCGGCCTCCCAAAGTCCTGGGATTACAGGCGCCAGCCACCGCGCCCAGCCCCAGCCATGTTTTTGTCACACAAACTTTCAGCCTGGAAATGACCACGCTTGGCAAGGCTTTTCCTCCACAAAGAGTGGCAGAACCCTACCTACCCACGTAACCCCAACACCCTGGGACCTTCACCCTGCTCTTCACAATAAATAGCACCCTCCTCCAATTTGCCTAGCGCACCGGGAAAGTCCACCCGGATAGTGGCCATCCCCGGGACCACACGATTCTCGGCCCCGCCCCCGGCCCCGCCCCCGGCCCCACCGCCCCCGCCGGGCTCCAGGCGGGAGGCGACGCCTGCGCAGTGCGGTCGCGGGGCTGTCGTTGTCCCCCGCGCCACCGACCGGGCCTCGAACGGGATGGCGGAGGAGGTGAGGAGGGAGGAAGTGTCCGGAGTGGGGCGGGCCCGGACTCCGACCCCCGGGGCGCTCCGAGCCCCCCAGCGGGTCACCGAGGCACCACCGATCCACCCAGGCCAGTAGCCGCCCCATTGCGCACCCCGGCCCAGCCTCACACTCGCGCCCGAGCGAGCCCCGGGCTCCCCTCGGACCCAGCGCGGCGCGGGGGTCAGTGGTTCTCTCGGGTCTCGGGACAGGTGAGCACCCTGATGAAGGCCACGGTCCTGATGCGGCAGCCTGGGCGGGTGCAGGAGATCGTGGGCGTCCTCCGCAAGGGCGGCGGAGAGAGGTTACAGGTACCTCGGAGGCGGGCGGGGGCCGGCAGGGCTGGGGGCGGCTGGGGAGGCTTCCAGCCCATTGGGTCTTCCCGCTTTGCTCTGCCGCGGACCCCTGCTAGCTCCCCACCCTAAGAAATGGCCGGGAACTTGAAGGAGAGCAGGTTGGTTCCCCTGTCCTGAATCCCAGATTTCAGATTTCTCAATATGGTCATGCTGCTTCCTCTAATTGGACAGAAGGCGCCCCACACCAGTACCTGGGGCCTTATCCTCCCCAAGCCAGCGGCTCTCCAGTAAGTTGAAGATATCCAGATGGGCCGTAATGGTAGAGATCTCTTAGGAAGGACCTGAAATTGAAGGAGTCAGAGGGGTCCTGAGTATTTCACCCTCGCCCCTACACTAGGAGACTGCGTTTTCCTCAGGGTTAACGGGTACTAATTAAGATCACTTCCCCTCTAAACCTCTGTGTCACTCAGTAACTCCTCCACCGCTTTGCCTATCATCCTCGCCACTGAGCTGTTTTGATTTCCATAATCATCCTCTGGCTGAGGCAGGGCCACATTAGAAGGTGCCTATTTAGGCATCATCTCTCTTTTGCCTTACAGGTGATTTCTGATTTTGACATGACCTTGAGCAGGTTTGCATATAATGGAAAGCGATGTCCTTCTTCTTACAGTAAGTCACATTCTAGCTTGCCTTGTTGGGCTTGACAAGATGATGGGTTCTAAGGGACAAGTAAAAGGAGTTTTCTCTTTTTCCAGATATTCTGGATAATAGCAAGATCATCAGTGAGGAGTGTCGGAAAGAGGTGGGTTGCTCCCGTCCTTTGCTCAGAAATGGTTGTCATATGCTACTTCAAATGGTTCCTGACTGGAACCAAAGGTTCCTCTATAGAGACCTTAGAAAATTAATTTTTAAAAAATTGTTGTTTTGCTAAGGAGGATCTAGTTTTAATACATTAAGACAGCTTTTCCTTACTGGCCAGGACATATGATGATTAATGGTTGGAACTGGACATTATACTTAGAGTTGGCTATAGAGTTTACAAGAGATTTGAACGTTATGGAGGTTCAGCAACTTACCCAGGGTCATACAGCCAAATAGCAGAGCTTGTTTGTTTGTTTGTTTGTTTGTTTTGAGACAGAGTCTCACTCTATCACCCAGGCTGGAGTGCAGTGGCTTGATCATTACTCAGGCTCGAGCGATCCTCCTGCCTTAGCCTACCGAGTAGCTGGAACTACAGGCATGTGCCGTTACACCTAGCTAATTTAAAAAATTTTTTGTAGAGATGGGGTCTCACTATGTTGCCTAGGTTGGTCTTGAACTCCTGAACTCAAGCAATCCTCCTGCCTCAGCCTCCCCAAAGTGTTGGGCTTATAGGCATGAGCTACCGCACCTGGCCTTTTTAAAAGAAAATTTATATTCTTCTGTTGGGTTCTAGTGTGTGTCTCTGTGTGTGTGTACACATATATGTGTGTGTGTGTGTATGTGTGTGTGTGTGTATATATATATATATATTTTTTTTTTTTTTTTTGAGACAGAGTCTTGCTCTATCGCCCAGGCTGGAGTGGCATAATCTCAGCTCACTGCAACCTGGGTTCAAGCAATTATCATGCCTCAGCCTCTCGAGTAGTAGCTGGGATTAGGGGCATGCACCACCATGCCCGGCTAATTTTTGTATTTTTAGTAGAGATGGGGTTTCGCCATGTTGGCCAGACTGGTCTCAAACTCCTGGCCTCAAGGGGTCTGCCCACCTTGACCTCCCAAAATGCTAGGATTACAGGCCTGGGCCATCACGTCCAGCCGAGTTCTAGTATATTTTTATTTTTATTTATTTATTTATTTATTTTTGAGATGGAGTTTCGCGCTTGTTGCCTAGGCTGGAGTGCAATGGTGCAGTCTCAGCTCACTGCAACCTCCTCCTCCCGGGTTCAAGCAATTCTCCTGCCTCAGCCTCCCGAGTAGCTGGGATTACCGGCATGCACCACCGTGCCCAGCTAATTTTTGTAGTTTTAGTAGAGACGGGGTTTCACCATGTTGGCCAGTCGGGTCTCGAACTCCCGACCTCAGGTGATCCGCCCGCCCGCCTTGGCCTCCCAAAGTGCTGGGATTACAGGCGTGAGCTATCTTGCCCGGCCTAATTTTTAGAAAAATGTTCTCACTCCAAAAAAACACATACATTGAGAATCTTAATACATTTCAGGAGTTTTCTGCCTTTGTTAGTATGTCAGCTTTGCATTTAATCTTCTTTTGGACAGATGGACAGGGATTCCATTTGATCTTGTAATGTTCCTGAGAATCACTCACGTATTAAAATTATTTACTTGGTCATTTCTCATTTTTACTGGGCACTGTTATTGACTGGCTCTGTGTGACACATGATCCCTGGAACAGCTCCTTTAGAGTGTCAAAGTCTTGGCACATAGAAGGAAACCTTAGAGGAAACACATGTAGATGCTGTGCATTCACATGATATTGACACTTTGACGGAATTGTCCACCAACATGCTGTGTCCCAAAGTACAGTCTTCTAGTTAAATTTAATTTTTTTTTTTTTTTGGCCATATCTGTGTATCACCTTTACTAGATCTTTCTCTAAATTGGCCTGCTTTTAAAAATTGTAATTAACTTATAAAGAAACAGGCTGGGTGTAGTGGTTCACGCCTGTAATCCCAGCATTTCTGGGAGGCCGAGGACGGCAGCTTGGTTGAGGTCAGGAGATCGAGACTAGCCTGGACAACATGGCGAAACCCTGTCTCTATGAAAAATACAAAAAATTAGCTGGGAGTAATGGTGCATGCCTATAATCCCAGCTACTTGGAAGGCTGAGGCAGGAGAATAGCTTGAACCTGCGAGGCAGAAACTGCAGGGAGATCGCGCTCCAGCCTAGGCAACAGACAGAACCAGATTCTGTCTCAAAAAAAAAAAAAGAGCCTGGAGCGGTGGCTCACTTCTGTAATCCCAGCACTCTGGGAGGCTGAGGCAAGTGGATCATGGGGTCAGGAGTTTGAGACCAGACTGGCCAACCTGGTGAAACCTCGTCTCTACTAAAAATACAAAAATTAGCTGGGCACGGTGGCACATGCCTGTAGTCCCAGCTACTCGGGAGGTTGAGGCAGAAGAATTGCTTGAACCCAGGAGGCGGAGGTTGCATGAGCCGAGATTTCGCCCCTGCACTCCAGCCTGGGTGACAGAGTGAGACTTTGTCTCAAAAAAAAAGAAAATTCTACATGAAAATGAATCCAAAACTACTGAGTTGAAAAGCGCTTCTCCATGAATTCCCTCAAGTTATCTTACCTATCACCTGAGAAAGTGGACCACATTCTGCAAAACACAGCATTAAGTAAGTTCTTACTGGTTAAGCCCTGACGATTCAGCTAATTAATACCAGCAAAAAAAATCTTAGTACCCTTCTTCTCTGAT